TTTTGGTTTTTGTAGAGGAGATTTGAGATGGTACTCTATTCTAATCAAAAATAAAAGTTTTGTAGCGGGACCAGAAATTACTTACCCATTACCCCCCCCTCCCCCCACCCTGACCTGATTCCAATGGGTTGAAAGTTCCTAGACCTGCTGTCAGGCTTTCTGATTGTCAGACCACCTGGTGTCCTTCCTGCAAAAATGAAGATGCAGCCATGAACCAAAGGGGGAGCCCGCAGACCCTGAAATGCAGGGCCCCCGCCCCAGCCGCTGGTAGCAGTGGAGTGGGCAGGCCCGGCAGCCCAGGATCAAGGCTAAGGATCAAGTTTTCACCTTGACTGTGACAGGAGGGGTAGGTAGCTTCCTCCTCCCTCCTGAAGGGGGACCTATTCTCACTCTGTTAACCTGCAGTCCAGGGGGCCATGGCTCTGGATCCATGACCTGGGGTCTCCTGGCCTCCCCTGGTCCCAGGTAAATGTGAATGGAGACAGGTATGAGAGCCTGTCCTCAACCTTGATGCCCCCCCACCCCTGCCCCCTGGCCTCACCACGGTGCTACCTAAGAAAGTCTTCCCCCCCAACCCCACATTTGCCTGGTCAGTGGTCAGAGAATTGGACGAGGATCCGACAGAGTGTGTAAATGTGAGATAAAATGTCTTGGTTGTACCTGTTTGTGGTTTAGCTTTGTATTTAAAAAAAAAAAAAAGGAAAGGAAATAACTTGAAAATTATTTGTCATCATAAAAATGAAACAAAAATTAAAATATTTATTGCCAGGCAAGGCCACTGGTGTGTCTTTCTGTTTTTTACATGGTGGAGAGAGAGGATTGGATTTTCAGCCTTATTTTACAAAAGGGTTACACAGCAGGGGCACCCAGCTGGCTCAGTCGGTAGAGCATACAACTCTTGATCTGGGGGTTGTAGGTTCAAGCCCCATGTTGGGTGCAGAGGTTACTTAAAATCTTTAAAAAGAAAAGGGTGGGGGTTATAGGACATTGGTGAATGCCCTCCTAGGAGAACATTCTGTTATTGGTACAATGGGGGTCATAGGTGCCAGTGACGATCAAAAGCCAACGCATGTTGAATCCTCCTTCAGAATGACGTCTGGCACCATCGTGTGTGCCCGTCTTGTGTGGGAAGCGCCTCCTACCAGTCCACGTCTCCGTCCCCACCACGTGCCCCACCAGCCACTGCACTCGAGGCGCATGGGGACAGCAGATAGAGTCCCTGGCTGACAAGTGGAAGATCGGATCCCAGCAGCAGCTGTGTCTGCCAGCCTGTCACCTTGCACAAATCCTTTTCCTTTTCCAGAGCTCAACCACATGGGAACAGCCTCTGCCCCACTGACATGCAGGGGTGTCCTAAGGATTCAGCCATCATGGATGACTCCATCTTCACCTTGGAGGGAATAGGGTGGCCTGGTGGCCTAGTGCACTTGGCCCTGGAACAGCCAGCTGTGTGATGCTGGGCAGGTGACGGCTCTGTGCGTGTCACTTCCCTCGGCAACAGGGAGCAGAGCTGGTGCATGCACGCGGGGGACTGCGTTATAGGAGTTAGTATGGGAAAAGCATGTGGAGCACGCCCTCAGGCATCATGTTTGCTGTCAGGATTGAAACTTGGCTTTGCTTCAGGACGCCTGGGTGGCTCAGTTGGTTAAGTGTCTGGTGAAGTGTCTGACTTGAGATTTCGGCTCAGGTCATGATCTGAGGGTCCAGGGTTCGAGCCCCGCATTGGGCTCCCTGCTCAGCGGAAAGTCTGTTTCTTCCTCTATTTCTCCTCCTTCCCCCGCTTGTGCTCTCTCCCAAATAAATAGATAAAATATTTAAAAAAAGAAAGAAAAGAAGGAAGAAACTTTGCCTGGGATTGATCGCAAAGAGCCTCCAAGCTCTGATATTTAGCGGCTGTATTTACTTACTCATTTTTTTTTTTAAGATTTTGTTTATTGGGACGCCTGGGTAGCTCAGTCGGATAAGCGGCTGCCTTTGGCTCAGGTCATGATCCCAGGGTCCTGGGATCGAGTCCCGCATCAGGCTCCTTGCTTGGTGGGGATCCTGCTTCTCTCTCTCCCTTTGCCTGCCACTCTGCCTGCATGTGCTCTCTATCTCTCTGTCAAATAAATAAATAAATAAAATCTTAAAAAAAAAAAAGATTTTGTTTATTTATTTGACAGAGAGAGATCACAAGTAGCAGAGAGGCAGGCAGAGAGAGAGGAGGAAGCAGGCTCCCTGCCGAGCAGAGAGCCCGATGTGGGGCTCAATCCCAGGACCCTGGGATCATGACCTGAGCCGAAGCCAGAGGCTTAACCCACTGAGCCACCCAGGCGCCCTGACTTACTCATTTTTTAAAGATGATCGCTACAGCAACCACTTCTTGTGCCTTGTGAAACCTGACTTGGAAATCCACTTCTCAGCCAGTTCCTCCGGGTGCTGGGTTTGGCGGAGGAAGCCTGTTGCATGGAAGGAGCTCTAGCACATTCCGTGGTCACACGGGGCCCCAGCTCCAGGAGAAACGCTCTGGGGACTTACCTTCTGGAATTCCGACAGCCCAGTGTCTGATCTGATCAAGAGCTGCTAAAATCTGAGCGTTCTTTATTGTCCTTTTTTAAAAGTCAGTCTCTCCCTGGATACACGGGAACCAGGGCTGTTTTAACTTGACATTTCTCTTGGAGTAGGGCTTTCTGGCCTTATCTAGCTCCACGAGGGAGAGAGAGGCAGCTGAGCGTTTATACAGGGGGATCCCCCAGGTCCGGGAGGGCAGGTGTTATGTATAAATGGCTTATGGACAGCAACACATAATGATCTGTCTGCTTCCAGACTTTCTGGCTGTCCTACAGCCCGGAGACAAGATGGAAACCAAAGCAAGACTGGCTCAGGGATAGGGAAGTGGGCTGCCGTTGCTGGGGCTGTAGGATGTAAGGCTAGTGCCTCGGGGATGGACTTTCCATGTCATTCCCAGGAGCTGAGTCTGTTCTGCACTCCTGTAAGGGACATAGCACTCCGCCCCGCCCCCCACCACTCACACACATTCTGTTCTGTGGTCTCGCGGCCCCTGTGGGCTGTCTGCCCAGCCTCTGCGTGGGGGTTCTGAAGGCAGAACACACAGATCTGTTTTCCCCGCTGGCTCTCATGTCCAAGGCACAGACACCTTTCTCCTGCCTCCCCTGTGTGAAGAGGGGCACCATGATCTGGGGTCAGAAATCAGGAGCCCCTGATCGAAGGCTCTGGACTGGCCCCTGCGGGGCCTGTGTTTCTTGGGAGGCAGAGAGGGGGAAGCCCGGGCTATGGAGTTCACCTCTGGGTTTGGGTCCAACTTCTACCCCTTTGGAGCTTGGACCCTGGACAAATCTCTCAGCCCCACTGTGCTGTGGACACCTTGGGTGTCCACAGGAATGATGACACCCATCCCACAGAGGTACGGCAAGGCCATAGGCAAAAGGTCCTCCAAGTGATGCAGGTAAGACATGCATTCATTAACATCAATGCTTTTTGGAGAAGAGGGACACGTTGGATGTTGTAGGTAGGAACCCAGGCCTTAGAATCAGCCCCGCCTGTGCGTCTGGGGCAGCCACTTCCTAGCTCCGTGACCTCATGCACTTTCATCTCTCCGAGTTTCACTTTCTGAATCTGTACACCAGTGGGTGAGTGCTGGTCCCCACCTCCCCGAGCTGTTCCACACAGCCGGTGGAACATTCAGGAAGCCAGGGCCAGTCACTAGCACGACCAGCTCACAGGACATGTTCAGCAGGTCCGTTCATTTCTTTGCAAAGTGCAGCCATCCGTTCTCTCCAGACTATTTTGCTGAATCCTAAATGCATTCTCCCCCCCAACATTTTAATATCTTTGAAGTCAGGACGAGCCTTAAAATCCATAGCATCTTAATGTTATAATTTGTCCCCTTTTCCTCGCCCCATTTGTTGAAAAGACTGTCTTTTTGCCATTGTATATTTTTGCCTCCTTCATCATAGATTGACGGACCATGTAAGTGTGAGTTTATTTCTGGGCTCTCTTCTGTTCTGTTGATCTGTGCTGGTACCAGACTGTTCTGATCACTGTAGCTTGGGGGTCTATCTTGAAACCTAGGATTGTGATACCGCCAGCTTTGTTCTTCTTTCTCAAGATGGTCTGGTTATTTGGTGGTGTAGTCAATTGAGCATCCGACTCTTGGTTTCAGCTCAGGTTGTGATCACCGGGTTGTGGGATCAAGCCCCATGTCAAGATCTATACTCGATGCAGAGTCTGCTTAAGATTCTCTCTCTCCCTCTCCCTTTGTCCCTCCCCACCATGCTCACTCTTTCTCTCTCCCTCTCTAAAATAAATAAATCAATCTTTAAAAAAAAGATGCTTTGGTTAGTTGGGAACTTTTGTCAAAAAAAAAAAAAAATAATAATAATAATAGGGGTACCTGGGTGGCTCAGTCGGTTAAGCACCTGACTCTTGATTTCGGCTCAGGTCATGATCTCAGGGTTGTGGGATCGAGCCCCACATTCGAGCTCCATCCTCAGTGGGGAGTCTGCTTGGGATTTCCTCCCTCTCCCTCTGCCCCTACCCCTGCTCATCCTTTCTTTCTCAAATACATAAATAAATCTTTAAAAAATAATAATAAGGGATGCCTGGGTGGCTCAGTTAGTTAAGCATCTGCTTTCAGCTCAGGTCATGATTCCAGGGTCCTGGGATCAAGCCCCGCTTCCGGCTCTTTGATCAGTGGGGAGTCTGCTTCCCCCTCTGCCTGCCCCTCCCCCTGCTTGTGATTTCATTGTCTCTCTCTCTGTCAAATAAATAAAATCTTTAATAATAATAATAATAATAATAATTTGCAGCTTTTTTCCCCTCTCATGGCAACACAAAATCCTGGTGCATCACACAGAGTCACTGAAATAAATATACACCAGCATATAAATGTGCAAAATACACACACCCAGTTCACAGATTTGGAAACCGAGACTCTGAAAGGTTAAAGCACCTTATACAAGGTCACATAACTCCAGACACCACTCTAAAACACTCAGAGACAAAGTATAAAAGTCATTTCACTTTAATACAAAATCATGTAAAGAAATGTTAGCAAAATCGAATGTTCATTAAGTATCCGTGAAATCATCCCCGGAATGTTGATACAATTTTTTCCTGGATTCTCTCCTCCTCATTCCCTTTGGGCTCAGGAAATTTGCTGCTGCTAAAGACCCAGGTCATCTGTGAGACCAGACAAGCAGAACACACATCTGCATGCCAGAGGCCCCTCCCAGCAGCTGGCGTGCAGCAGGAAGTGGGCCTCATTTTGCTTTCCTTCTGCTGTCTCGATTTCTTTGTGCCACTTCCCCGGCCCTAGCCAAGCCTTCAGGGGAGTCCAGCTCTGTGGCCTGGGGAAAAAATGATCACGAGAGAGCCTCACCTCCTTCCTCCTTGGTGGCTTTCAGGGAAAACAGGTGAGCAAGTGTAGTGAGTATGTGTGGCACTGAGAGATGAATTTGGAAGTCTTGGTGCATCGCCTTCTTGAGTCCAAGAACCTCATAATCGTGCCTTTCGGTCTACATCTGTTTCCCCGATCGGAAAGAGAACCTGGGTGTAGAGAGAGAAGGGTACAGACAGAATGAAGCAGGGAGCGCAGAACCCTGCAGAATCGGGGACAGGCTCTTGCAGGCCACTGACTCAAACACTTGCTCAGGGCTCAGGGACGGGGCAGGCACTGTTCTGGGGGTTTCCATCTACCAGCTCATTTCACACTCATAACTCCTCAATGAAGTCAGTGCCCTCAATATCCCTATTTTATAGATTAACAAACTGAGGTCCTTCAAGGTTCAGTAACAGGCCCAGGGTCAGACAGTAAGTTGCGGAACCAGGAGTTGGACCCAGAGTCCACTTATGCACGGGGCTATGCGGAAAAATGGTGTCTGAGCCTTTTTTTTTTTTTTTCTTAATTTCAGGAGGTTTTATTGTGGAGGAAGCATCCACGTTACCTACAATTATAAAACAGATCTTCGCAGTGAATAAAGTTCGGCATGTAAATTCTTTTTTTTTTTTTTTTTAAATATTTTATTTATTTGTCAGAGTGAGCACAGGCAGACAGAGTGGCAGGCAGAGGCAGATGGAGAAGCAGGCTCCCGCTGAGCAAGGAGCCCGATGTGGGACTCGATCCCAGGATGCTGGGATCACGACCTGAGCCGAAGGCAGCTGCTTAACCAACTGAGCCACCCAGGCGTCCCTCGGCATGTAAATTCTTGGAGAAAACCTAGATATCCCCCGAGACCTGATTACCAAACGTTCAATGTTTCTCCCTGTCCTATGCAAAGTTTTGAAAAGGAAGAAATCTCTCTGGGGTTGATCACAAAGTTCAGTCTGCAGCTGTGAGAAAGACCCAGAGCTGGCTGGAGGGTTGGAAAGCCAGTGACGGGGAAAGGGGCTGGTGCTTCCTGTCGGAGGCAAAGCCCCGGAGCACTGAGCGAGGTTAGCAGCTCTGCCCACAATGGCTGGGGCGGGCCCTGGACTAGTGTTGGGATCCAGGCATTAGGGCTCAGCCGTCCTCCCCTCAGCCTGTACACATCCCCCCCACCCGCCTGTTCCCTGTCTCAGGAAGTGACATCACCCCCACCTCGTCATTCATGCCAGGACCCCGGGAGTTGTTCTCAGCTCCTCCCCCCATCTGCTATATGTTAGTCATCCTGCCCCAAACATGTTCCTAATCCCGACACTCCTCGTCTCCTGCACTGCCACCCACCCAGTCCAAGTCACCACGAAGAGCACGATGGCCCTCCTGCCGCCCCCTGCAATCCACTCAGATGACAGTCAGAATGACCGTGTTGTCCTACAGAGCTGACTAAGTCATTTCTCACCTCACACCCCTCCGTGGCTCCCCACTGCCCTCAGGATAAAGCCCCAAACCCTTCTTAGCACGACCTACTTCCTCAGAAAGCCGTTCATTCATTCATTCATCCTATTTTAGCTATTCATTCATTCATTCATTCATTCAATCAATAAGCTCGTGAAATTGTGCCCATGAAATTGTGGCCTCATGCTCATTAGACACATGACCTCAGGCTAGCGTGTGCACAGAACAAACAGCTTATTTTTGCTGTATCAGGCTCAAGCTCTAAGGGGCCCTAAGGGGTGGGGGCAGTGTACGGAGGCCCCGGCTCCCTCCCCACCAGGCCTGGTCTTACTAGTTGCTGTGTCTCTCTGCTGACCACCCCCTGCCCTTTCCCTCATAGGTCCCGCACTCCCGTTGCCATGCTGGGCTGCTTCTCTATCCCTTGCTGGTTCCCTTAACCCTGCTCACATCTGTAAGCTGTCCCTTCTTTAAAGCTTTTCAGTCACTCCCTTTAAGTGTGCTATTTGTTTCTTGCCAGGACTCTGGCAAGAGTCCCTCCCACACCCCCCATCGCTCATCCACATTAAGTGTCTGGCCCCCACAGGCATTTTTTGTTAGAGATTTTATTCATTTATTTGAGAGAGAAAGAGCATGAGAGGAGAGAGGTCAGTGGAAGTAGCAGACTCCCTGCCGAGCAACGAGCCCGCCACGGGACTCGATCCCGATCCCGGGACTCCAGGATCACGACCTGAGCCGGAGGCAGCCGCTTAACCAGCTGAGCCACCCAGGCGGCCCTCCCATAGGCATTTTAAAAAAATATTTTATTTATTTATTTGACAGAGAGAACACAAGCAGGGGGAGCGGCAGGCAGAGGGAGAGGGAGGAGCAGGGCTCCGCTGTCTCAGGATGCTGGGATCCTCAGCCGAAGGCAGGCGCTTAAACACTGAGGCACCCAGCACACCCCCCAACCCGTCCCACCCCCCAGGCATTTGAGGTTCCTGACCGAGGTGCTTCTCAGTTCTGTCCGAGGAGTCAGGGGCTGGTACTTGTCACCAGGACAGACATTCCCAGAGCGGCCAAAGCAAATGGGCTGTTTGCTTCCTGGAGCAAGAGGGAAAGGCGCACCTCATTGCACTGCCACTTGTCAGCTGAGAAGGCGTGTCTCAAAGTGTCTCAAAGTGTCTCAAAGTGTCTCAAAGTAAGCCAAGGGTTCTCTACATCAGAGTTACCCGGGAAATTTGTCAGAAATCCAGATTTCTGGGCTTCATCCTGGATTTGACTTCTGAGAATCTGAATTTCATTTTATCTTATTTTATTTTTTTTAAAGATTTTGTTTATTTATTTGACAGAGAAAGAGATCACAAGTAGGCAGAGAGAGAGAGGAGGAAGCAGGCTCCCTTCCAAGCAGAGAGCCTGATGCGGGGCTCAAGCCCAGGACCCTGAGGTCATGACCTGAGCCAAAGGCAGAGGCTTAACCCACTGAGCCACCCAGGTGCCCAAGAATACGAATTTTATTTTTATTTTAATTTCTTTTTAAGATTTTATTTATTTATTTGACAGACAGAGATCACAAGTAGGCAGAGAGGCAGGCGGTGGGGGAGCAGGCTCCCCACGGAACAGAAAGCCCGATGGGGCTCGATCCCAGGGTCCTGGGCTGAGCTGAAGGCAGAGGCTTTAACCCCCGAGACACCTAGGCGCCCTGAGAATCTGAATTTTAAACAAGACCCACATTCTGGGCACCTGGGTGGTTCAGTGGGTTAAAGCCTCTGCCTTCAGCTCAGGTCACGATCCCAGGGTCCTGGGATCGAGCCCCACATCAGGCTTTCTGCTCTGTGGGGAGCCTGCTTCCTCCTCTCTCTCTCTCTGCCTGCCTCTCTGCCTACTTGTGATCTCTGTCTGTCAGATAAATAAAAAAATTTAAAAAAAAAAGACCCCACATTCTATGGTTTGAGCCTTAGCACCCGAAGAAATGAGGGATTAACAAGGGAGCATAAACACGAAGGACGTATTCAAAGGAAATCACGTTATGTGTCCCAACGATGGGAGACAAAGGGTCCCCTAAAGTTGGAAGTAAGAGCGGGTCAGTCCCTTAGTCAATTAAGGTTCTGCCTTCAGCAGGAGTCATGATCCCGGAGTCCTGGGATCAAGCCCCGCATTGGGCTACCTGCATAGCCTCCTCTCTCTCCCTCTGCCCTTCCCCCAACTTGTGCTGTTTCTCTCTCTTTCAAATAAATAAATAAAATCTTAAAAAAAATAAAAGTTGGAGGTAAGAGAGGTAATGAATCAGCACCCCTGCCCCTTTTTAAAGTAATCTCCACACTCAACATGGGTCTCTAACTCATGACCCCGAGATCAAGAGTCACGTGTTCCTCCAACTGAGCCAAGCCCCCATGAATCCCCCTTAAACTCTAATAATTCTTGTTGTTTTTGTAGTATTATTCTATCACAGGGAGGCAGTAGTGTAGAACCTGGACTTCTCGGGTTCAAATCCTGACTTTACTCTTTACCATCTGGGTGACCTCCGGCAAATTACTTTGCCCCCTAGTATCTGTTTCTCCACCTGTAGAATGGAGATGTGACCGCTCCTACGTCCCAGGGTCACCGTGAAGAGTCTATGAATTAATATAGGTCAAGTGCTTAGATTACTGCCTCACAGATCTCACGATAGTCCATCCCCGAATTTTCCTATCAGCCGTAGCACCACCAACCAGGACGTCCCCACCCGGGGTAGCTGGCCAGCCTCCTCGGGCCTCCACTCCTTCCCACGGCAGTGAGTTAGTGCAACGGAGCAGCAAGTAACTCACAGCTTCCTTATGATTGTCTTCTCCTCTTTGTTACTGCTGGCCTTGCTGGTCCTGGCGACAAGGGCATCTTTTTCTCTTCTTCCTCCTGGGCCTTCTCTTGGTGGAATCAGACCACTGGGGAAAAGGGGATGAATAAAAGGATTGTTTTATTGCAGACCTGTCTGTGCAGCTCTGAAAGTAAAGGGTCTTAATAATAATAATAATTATATTAGTATCATTGAAAGTTAGCATCAGAGAGATTCTGCTTCTTCCCATGTTGATACCTCTTCTTTCTTTCTTTCTCTTGTCTAAATGCATTGGCTAGTACTTCAAGCTTCTCCACTTTCTAGGAATATGGCCACATATCAATTCTCTACCTTAAGCCTTGATTTTTCTCATCAATAAAATGAGGATACTAAGAGGGACGTCTGGATGGCTCAGTCAGTTAAGTGTCTGCCTTTAGCTCAGGTCATGATCTTGGGGTCCTGGGATCGAGCACCACCTTGGGCTCCTGGCTGAGGAGTCTGCTTCTGCCTCTCCCTCTGCCCCTCCCCTCCCACTTGTGCTCTCTCTCTCTCAAATAAATAAATAAAATCTTTTTAAAATTAAACAAATAAATTAAGTAAAATAAAAGCTATAGTAAGTCAGATGGTAACAAGAGTTAAATTTGTATTGATTGATAAGCTATTGAGGTCAGCTGACTTAAAGATGACCAGAGCATTCCCCCGGACTTGATGTGCAGAAGCTGGAAGAAAGCTGTTCTCTCTCATCTGTCCAGCTGGGACTGCCGGTAGCCACGTTTCCTAAGATTCCTAGAAGGTGTGTCTATAACACAAGACAACGAGGCCAACACGGAGAAGCAAGGAGGAAAGAAAGAGGACCTAGCTGTAGGTTTTTTTCTTTATTTCTGCAAGCAGTCGCACGATCCCTCCTAGCTATGTGGGTTAATAAATTCCCTTTTGTACTTGAGCTAGTTTGAATTGGATTTCTGTCACTTGCAACCAAAAGAAGGCTGACCACAGCGCAATGTAGCAGTGTACGAAATACTTCACACATTGCTTATTAACTGCACTTAGGTCTCTTGCTGTGGCATCTGCTGGTTCATTTATACCTGTGGTGTTTCCCCTTCCTACAGACTGGATCGGGTCTCCCAGAATCCATGTATTGAAGCCCCAAGCCCCAATGTAATGGTATTTAGAGATGGGGCCTTTGGGAGACAATTAAGTTTGGATGAGGTCAAGAGGGTGGGGGCCCCATGGTTGGATTAGAGCCCTTGTAAGAGGACATGTCTGAGGGCTTCCTCTCTTCAGTGTGTGCAAGAAGCCACAAAGAGGGGCGCCTGGGTGGCTCAGTGGGTTAAAGCCTCTCTGCCTTCGGCTCAGGTCATGATCTCAGGGTCCTGGGATCAAGCCCCGCATTGGGCTCCCTGCTCACTGGGGAGCCTGCTTCCCTTCCTCTCTCTCTGCCTGCCTCTCTGCCTACTTGTGATCTCTGTCAAGTAAATAAATAAAATCTTAAAAAAAAAAAAAAAAGAGTTTGAGACAGCAGGCTCCATCCTTCTCTCTCCTTTGCAAAGAGGGAGCTCTTATTATTTAATATTATTATTTACAATTTATTATAGTATTAATGCATCATTAAATTATTATTAATAACTCCTCTTTTCTATTATCTATTGTTACATAAACCCTAAGCCACAGTGATTTTAAACAAGGAAGATCTATGACTTCCCATGGTGACTCCATTTCTTATGGTTGGCTTGGTGGGTCACCTGGAGGCTGGGCACAGCTGGGACCGTCTGCTGGGGCACCTCTGTTCTTTGTGTGATGTCTCCATGGTCCTACCTTGAGCTTGCTCACAGTACTGTGATCTCAAGCATTCCACGAGGACCAAAATGGAAGCTGCAACAGACCTCCCCTAACCTCAGAAGCCAAACAGCATCGCTTCCACAACATTCCATTGGTCAAAGCAAGTCACCGGGCTGCCCAGACTCATGAAGAAAGAAAAATAAGACTCTACCTCTTGAGGGGGTAGAAAAGGCGCCCTGCAGAAGGCATGCAGGATGGGAAAAACTATGGCCATCTTCGGAAGCAGGCTACCACGTCCGCCCCAAGGAAAAACCACCACTGGTATGACCTTGGACCTCGAAACTGATGCAGTTGCTAGGAGACTACCTCAGCTGACATGCTGGTTTTTCCAGAATACAGGACCCAAGTGAGTAAACAGAATCCTGCCATCAGCTGTCCTCTACCAGATGGGAAGTACATGGCTGCTGCTCTCCGGTAATTCAAAACTGGAAAGAAAGCATGTCGCTCTATTCGCTACCAAGCTGCTCAAACCCCATTTCAGCCGATCCTGTCCTTAACTACCTGTGTCTGAAGCACTTATTCGATGAGAGGAAGACAGGTCTTTCCATTAAAATGGTTCCAACCTCAGCAGAAGGAAGGCGATTAAATTCCTGTTGGCAGAACTCAGCCCTTTAGGATTTGGCTTGCTAGAATATTTTTACTGTACTGCTCCTCCTTCAGGGATCCTACGTTGAATGGATTTATTTATTTTTTCAATATTTTATTTATTTATTTGAGAGACAGAGACAGAGAGAGAGAGCCTGAGTCGGGGGGGAGGGGCAGAGGGAGAGGCCGACGTCCGGCTGAGCAGGGAGCCCGACCTGGGGCTCCCGAGATCATGACCTGAGTGAAGGCAGATGCTTCACTGACTGAGCCCCCCCACAGGGTGCCCCTGAGTCAGCGTATTTCTTCCTTCTAAACTTTCAGAGTCCAAACATGGCATGATAACTAAATGCATAGGCTCTGATATCAGGCTGTCTGAGGTCACATCTCACCATTGCCACCATCAGCTATGGGACTTCAGGCAGGTGACCTGATCTTCATGAACCATAGAACACCTTGGAGATGACATCACCTTAGCTCACCTTGCTGTGAGCACTAGCGGAAATGATGCTTGCAATCCACTGGGCAGAGTGCCTGGCATGCAGGGTGCGGGGACAAACATTAGCTGGCCCCGAGTTTTTATTCTCCTGGGCTTTCCTTCTTCTGTCTCTAAGGGAATCTGCTTTGTTTAACTCAACGGTTTCCCAGAATTATTCGACCACATAGCCCCCTTTCTTTTTCTTTCCTTCTTTCCTTCCGAGTCCCCTTTTCAAGAAGCACTTACATGAAAGGAAACATTTTGGGGAACAGGGTGCAAATGCATACAGCAAAGTGCAAACCCAATAGGTCAACAGCTTCCTATTTCCTGTCTTGCTGGTGCTACAACCTATTCCCTACACTTGTTATTGTGATTTTTTTTTTAGGATTTTATTTTATTTTATTTTATTTTTTTAAGATTTTATTTATTTATTTGACAGACAGAGATCACAAGTAGGCAGAAGCAGGCAGAGAGAGAGGGGGAAGCAGGCTCCCTGCTGAGCAGAGAGCCCTATGTGGGGCTCGATCCCAGGACCCTGAGATCATGACCTGAGCTGAAGGCAGACGCTTAACTAAGGAGTCACCCAAGGGCTCCTTCCCCCAATTTTTAAAAAAAGAAGGCTCCACACCCAATGCGGGGCCTTGAATTCAGGACCCCGAGATCAAGACTTGCATGCTCTATCAACAGAGCCAGCCAGGTGCCCCTCACGTTTGACCTTTTAAAACACTAAACCGGGGGCGCCTGGGTGGCCCAGTCGGTAGAGCTTATGACTCGTAATCTCAGGGTAGTAAGTTCAAGCCCCACACTGGGCATGGAGCGTCCTTAAAAAAAAATAATAATAAATAAACAAAAGATAAACACAAACAAAGCAAGCAGCAAACCAGATCTTGTCATTTCCTTGATTAAAACTTTCCAGTGACTCCTCACTACCCTTACAATAAAAGTAGAATCCTTCCCGGGGCTCACTAGGCACACCTCTCTCATTGTCTACCTGTGCTCCAGCTTCCACCATGCTGGGTCTCTCAAAATGGAGACGGTGGTTCCCCGCTCAGGGTCTTAGGGCTTCTCACTCCTCTCTTGCCCTACTGATCTTTCGATGGTCGGCTGCTTCTTGTCATTCGCCTCACAGGAACCTTCACTGACTACCCCATGTAAAACAGGCCCCTCTTAAAGCCTCTGCCTTCGGCTCAGATCATGATCTCAGGGTCCTGGGATCGAGTCCCGCATCGGGCTCTCTGCTCAGCGGGGAGCCTGCTTCCTCCTCTCTCTCTGCCTGCCTCTGCCTACTTGTGATCTCTGTCTGTCAAATAAATAAATAAACAAAATCTTTAAAAAAATAAAAATAAAAATAAAACGGGCCCCTCCTCTAGCCCCCAGCCTTTGCTGCCATATGTCACCTTGGTTTTTTTGTTTTGTTTAGAGAAGGAGAGAGACAGAAAAAGAGGAGGGGGGAGGGGCAGAAGGAGAGGGAGAGAGAGCATCTCAAGCAGGCTGCACACCAGCAAGGCATGTGACACAGGGCCTGCTCCCACAAGCCCGAGATGATGACTTGAGCCAAAATGAGATGATGACCGGATACCAAACCGACTGCGGGCCCCCCAGGCGCCCCGTCACCTTGGTTTCCAGTCTTTGGAGCACTTACCACCACTACCCTGCATGTCCATCTCAGACTTCCTTGTCACTTGCCTGTCTTCCCCCTAGACTAGCACGGACTGCCTCTGTTTCGTTCACTGCTACAGCCCGGGGCCAGCGACAGGGCCTGGCACCAATCAGGTCTCCATAAACTGGCCGCGCGAACGGAGGGACAAAGAGCGTGTCAAGGAGCTGCGGGCAGGGCCGGCCCGGCGGTGCGGGGTGCCCGGGGCAGCCCAGCCCCACCTCTTATAGCACTGCAGCTCCTCCTGCACCACCAGCAGCTGGGACTTGAGCTTGTTGCGCTCCTGGAGCACATCCCGCAGCTCCTGGAGAGTGAAGCGGGGTCGGTTGGGGTCTGTCAGGTCAACCACCATTTTGTCTGGTCCCAGGTCTACCTGTAAGGAAAGACGTTGGCGAATGGTAAAGAAGCTAGAGTTCTAAGTACCATTTTCTGAAGAAAAGAACCAGGGCTCCTTGGGGGAATGGCCGATGCCAGGGCTGGACCAGGGAAACCATGAGATGAACCTGGAATGTTCCCTGGTGTAAGGGATGGAGGCGTATCAGAACGACAGTCTAAAGGAGCTCCCACCGGCAAGACTGAGAACAAGCTGAGTATCGGAATGAATAATCACGATGACCCTTCGAATAAAAAGAGAATTCAGGAGTTCATACTTAAAATTTAAAAATTTAAATTAGTTAATTAATGGGAATGTGAGGGTTAAATTTTTGTGTCTGCTTGGCTGGGCTAAAGACTGCCCAGCTAGCTGGTTAAACATTATTTCATGGTGTGTCTATGAAGGTGTTTCTGGAAGACATGAGCATTTGGACCGATGCACTGAGAAGAGCAGATGGCCCTCCCTGCTGGGTGGGCGGGCATCATCCAATCCACTGAGGGCCTGAATAGAACAAAAGGAGGAATGAGGGTAAATTCTGAGCTCTGTCTGTTGATGTGGGACATCCTCCTTCTTGGGCCCTCAGACTTTGACACTCCTGGACCTTGGGCTTTTGGTCCCAGGCTGGGACTTACACTGCTGGCCCCCCGCCCCAGTTAAGACTTCTTGGTTCTCTAGCTTGAAGACTGAAGGCTGTCTCAGCCTCCATACATGTATGAACCAAGGCCTCAAATATCTCTCCTCTTCATATGGATAGCTGTATCCACTATTGGTTCTGTTTCTCTGGAGAACTCTGACTACAACAGGGAAAGAAGAGGGGAATCTGTGCTTTACAGCAGAAGACCAATTAATGCATGTAGAAGATGAGAGAGTGGCACAATCATCCTTTTGGGGTGCCTGGCTAGCTCAGTTCGTAGCTTGGAGTTGTGGGTTTAAGCCCCATGTTCGGTGTAGAGATGACTTAAAAATAAAATCTTTATCAGGAAAAAAAATTGTTTTTTAACCAACTTTGTAATGATTGATTCAGGGAAAACTAATGAATGGATCTAAAAACTTTTAGTTAAAAGCCTGTCGGGGAACAGAATATTTTCCAGTTTGGAAGTATTTTCCCGCAAGTATTTATGAATTACAAAGAGGAATAAAGGCCCCTATACAGTGCAGAAATCTTGCAGACACCACATTAACCAAGGGCTACAAGTTGACATCACCAGTAATGATCAACGAAGACAAGTGCCTCCTGATAGTAAGGACTATGACACAGCATCACTTCAGGGCTGTTCCTGCTAAACACGTATCACTTGGATCCACCCATGACACCTCAGAACAAACCCAAATCGAAGGACACTCTACCAACCAATCCATAATCTTCAAAAATGTCAAGGTCGTAAAGAGACAAGGAAAGCTGAGGAACTCCTTCTCAGGTGACTGAAGAGAAGTGCCAACCAAAGGTACTGTGTAACCTGGGACTGGGTCCTGCCCTAGAAAAAGGATGCCGTAAAGGACATTATTGTGCATTTAATAGGGGTAATATATTAGGTCTTTGTATCCTGTCACTTTTTCCCTCTAAGTTCAGTCATTTACTTGTGGCTATGCAATAGTATGTCTTATGGGATACTCACTGAACTATTCAGGGTAAAGGACCCTAATTTTTTTGTTTGTTTGTTTAAAGATTTTATTTGTTTATCTGACAGAGAGAGAGAGAGCACAAGCCGAGGAATGGCAGGCAGAAGGAGAAACGGGCTCCTGGCTAAGCAAGGAGCCAGATGTGGGGCTCGATCTCAGGACCCTCAGATCATGAGCCAAAGGCAGACGCTCAACCAGCTGAGCCACCCAGGTGCCCCGGACCCTAATCATTTACTAATCCTGCAACTTACGTAATGTCTGTTCAGATCATTGAGGAAAACTAGTAGTGAAGATATAATATAGACACATACTGTTTCTGTATATGCATACATACATACCCATATATGTGTTTTGTGTGCATTTATATACACTTTGGTGTGTATCTTCTAAGACATACTACACACTACACACACACAAAACTGAAGACAACACCTGAATCCCGGTGAAAGGTGTACAGGTGTTCATTGTGCTTTTCCTGCAACTCTCCCATGGGTTTGAAATGTTTTCTAACTAAAACTTAAGCAACTGTTTGAAAACAACCTACATGTCCACGAACAGTAGCCCAGTTAAGGAAAAACTAAGGCAGAACCACACCGGAATGTTGTGCAGCTGACAGAGAGAACAAGGCACAGTATAAAGAGATAGTAGTAACGATGAGCACATTCCTGCGATCAGACTGACCCGGATCAGGGTGTTTGAACACTCCCGGGGAACAGGCACTGATTGCGGGAGGCGTGGGACTCCTTGACCTCCGTGAGGTGTAATTTAACACTACATGTTATCTGAATTTCAGATGCTGCTTCCCTTTGATCCAGTGCCTCCATTTCCTCAAGGCACTCTCCCTCAGGAGCCAAATGGTTTCAGTGTTGCATGTGCTAAGAGTAAATGGTCGGAACATAAACATCTTTTGATGGGAGACTGGTTAAAGCAGAGAATCGTAACCTTTTTTGTGCCACGGACCCTTTTGGCAGCCTGGGAAAGCCCACGCGGCCCTCCTCCAAACAATGTGTTAAAAATGTATAAAATGAAAGGCACAGAATTATAAGGAGACCAACTAAGAAGACATAACACTCATCAAAATCTTTTAAAAACAAATTCATGATTAATATACCTGCCTCTTTATTAAGTAAAGTGAGCTAGACGCAGGTCTGGTGAAATACTGAACAAAAACGAAACTTTGAGATGTGAACGACACCGTAATGGGACATGAAAATATCTGTGATTTCCATCGGTGATCGTCACAGGCATTGCTAATATTACTGTAGTTTGTTGTCTATATTCACAGGTGGAGAAAGTGACACATTTCAGCTGGAAGTTAATGAAATGAAAATATAATTTTTTTTCCCATGCAAGGGCATGGACCTCTTGGATTAGAATCAATGATTCCCTTGGGCATCCAAGAACTTCAGATTAAGAACCCTCAGCTGAACAATTGATAATACCATCCAATGGAAGTTTTCCTCATTAAAAGACGAGGAAGCTCTTTCTGTCCTGCTTTAATTCACCTTTCATGGTATGTTAAGTGAAAATACACAAAAGGCAGAAATGGGTATATGTTATCATACCATTTGTGTAAAAAGTGGAGACATATTTTCATATCTGCTTCTATTTCCATGAAGTATCTCTGGAAGGATACATAAGAAACTGATCATTTGGGGCGCCCGGGTGGCTCAGTGGGTTAAGCTGCTGCCTTCGGCTCAGGTCATGATCCCGGGGTCCTGGGATCGAGCCCCGCATTGGGCTCTCTGCTCAGCAGGGAGCCTGCTTCCTCCTCTCTCTCTGCCTGACTCTCTGCCTACCTGTGATCTCTCTCTGTCAAATAAATAAATAAAATCTTTAAAAAAAAAAAAAGAAAGAAACTGATCATTTACATTTTTTCCAGGGAGAGCGAGTGGGCAGCTGGGCGTGGAAAGAGGTGGGGAGGTCGATTTTTCAAGGCAAATGCCTTTGCACCTTTTGAATTTGGAACTTAAATTTTTTTTAAAAAGAGGGGCACCTGGGTGGCTCAGTCGGTTGGGTGTCTGCCTTGGGCTCAGGTCATGATCCCGGGGTCCTGGGATGGAGCCCTGCATTGGGCTCCCTGCTCAGAGGGAAGTCTGCTCTCTGCCCTCTCCCTCTGCCCCTTCCCCTGACTCATGCTGTCTCTCTCTCCCTCTCTCTCTCAAATAAATAAATTTTAAAATCTTTAATTTTTTTTTTTTTTTTTTTTTTTTTTTTTTTAAGGAAGGAAAGGGACGCCTGAGTGGCTCAAGTCAGTTAGGCATCCAACTCTTGTTCTTGGTTCAGGTCATGATCTCAGGGTCATGAGACGGAGCCCCAGTTGGGCTCCGTGGTCAGCGTGGAGTCAGCTTGGGATTCTCTCTCTCCCTCTGCCCCTCTGCCCACTCATGACCCCTCTTTCTCTCTCAAAATAGATAAATAAATAAAATCTTAAAAAAGAAAGGCAACAAAAATACTTCACACCCATTCGAGTGGCTACTGTAAACAGACAAAACAGAATAGAACGAATGGTGGTAGGGAGGTAGGAAAGTTGGAATTCTTGGGTACTGCTGGTGGGGATGTAAAATGGTACACTTACTATGGAAAACCACATGGAAGAGCCTTAACAAATTAAAAATAGAATTATCCTAGGATCCAGCAATTCCACTTCTAACTACACACCCCAAAGCATTGAAAGCAGGGACATGACGAGATCTGTATACACCCATTTTTTTTTTAAAGACTTATTTATTTTTTGGAAGAGAGAAAAAGAGCATGTGCTTGCAAGCAGAGGGAGGGCCAGAGGGAGAGAGAGAGAATCCTCAAGCAGACTCTCTACTGAGTAGGGAGCACAACTCAGGCCTGGATGCCAGAACCCAGGATCGTGACTTGAGCCCAAGTCAAGAGTTGAATGCTGAACAGACTCGAGCCACCCGAGAACCCCAGTGTACAGCCATGTTCACGGCCGCATTACTCACACTAACCAAAAGGCGGAAGCAACCCAGGTGTCCCTTGACAGGTGAATGGATAAACCAAGATCCACACAATGGAATACTATCCAGCCCCTAAAAGGAAGGAAATTCTGATACACACCACAATGTGGATGAACCCTGAAGACATTATGTTAAATGAAATAAGCCAGTGACAGAAGGGCAAATACCATATAATTCTACTTATATGAAGCGCCTGGAAGAGGCAAGTTCACAGAGATAGAACATGGACGGGGGCGGGGGAGCACGGAGCTGGTGTTTACTGGGGACAGGGTTTCGGTTTTGCAAGATGAAAAGAATTCGGGCAGGAATGGAGAGGGATGGTTGCACAACCAGGTGAGTGTACTTAATGACACTTAAGTGTGCACTTAAAAATGGCTGGGGTGGTAAATTTTATGTGTATTTTACCGCAATTAAAAATAACTTAAAAATTAAAAAACCCCGAAAAAAACCAGTAAGTGTATTTTTACAAACTGCCTAGTGGTGCTAAACAAATTCATTCTCTCTGCTCCTTTCCCCACCCCTGTTCCTAACACTGCGGTTTGGGAGGAAAATGCCATCTCACTGCAGGCTTATAAAGCCTGTCCGCTGTGCCCCACACAGGAAATCACCCAGGTCCAGAGCACGCGGTACACGGTCCGTGGTGCGGGTCCCTCTATATCCTCATTCCTGGGCTTGGAGGTGGCAGGGATGATGAGCTCAGAACGTGAGCAGAGCCGTCCTGAGCAAGTCACTTAACTTCTCCCGAGTCTCAAAAGCCAGGCTACGCATCACAATACTCAACTGTCTCTTATGATGGACAGTAAAGTAGAAATGTATACAAGCACAGTCGTCACGGGGACAAACGAACCTAGAATAACTACCAGGGAAGTGACCAGAAACCTTCACTCTTTTCCCTGCGAATGTCAGCAACCCTGTTGCTCTTGCCCTTTCTTGGAACGCTTCTCAGTTTGTGATCTTGTACTGCAGTTCTGGAGGCAGGGTACCTTACTTCTCCCATTAGACGGGAGCTCTGGGAGGGCAGAGTCCCCGTCTAATTTACCTCTGCGGCCCCAGGGTCCAGCACGGTGTAATCATTCATCAAATGTCATTCCAACAAACAAGGTCGAATGTCTGTACACCGTGTGCAGTGGTGAAGTGAAGAACTGGCATCTCTGAGTTCACCTGTACCTCTTACTTGCAGTAATCCTCTGGTAAATTACTTAACTGTCCTATTCCTCCGTTTCTGTAAAACGGGTATACTGATAGTAAGAGGACTAAATGAGATAGTCCACTTAGAACAGCTTTTTTTTTTTTAAGTATGGCTGGAGAGCCATTAGTCATTCATATTGATTTAATCAATTGTAACAAGAATTTAAAATAGAATAGGCAAGTAAAGGGATGCCTGGTTGGCTCAGTCGGTTAAACATCTGCTTTCAGCTCAGGTCATGATCCCACGGTCCTGGGATGGAGCCCCAGGTCTGGCTCCCTGCTCAGCAGGGAGCCTGCTTCTCCCTCTGCCTGCTGCTCCCCCCTGCTTGTGTGCTCATGCACACACACTCTCTCTCTAACAAACAAGTAAAGCCTTAAAAAAAAAAAAAAAAAGAAGAGGCAAGTGTGATTGTGCATCATATTTAATAAGGGTGAGTTAAGATCAATTGTTTCTTAAAACTTTTGTTTCATCAATATTGGAAAGTGATATAACGGGTAATTTTGTCAAATGGAGGCATAACATACATGTACTAACCTTGAGATTATCGCCTGATGATTTTTTTAAAAATATCTCTTCACTTCCTTGTTTTTTGTTTTAATTAGTTATTTGCCAAAACCAAGAGTCTTGCACTTAACGGACTGAGCCACCCAGGCACTTCTTGATGATTTTCAACATAGGTACACACCCATGTAATCACACCCAGATAAGCTCCCTATGAACCTCCCCTCCCAACTGGGGCTACCATCAATCTGTCTTCTATAAATAGAGATAATTTTGCCTGTTCTTGAATTTTGCATAAATATATAGTAGGCTCCGTTTTGTGCCTGGATCCTGTGCCTTAGTGTAATGTCTGTGAGAGTCACGCACACGCTTGTGTGTGTTAGCAGTCTGGTCTTTTTCACTGCTGCGTAGTACTCCACTGTGGGATCACACTATTTTAAAATCCATTCTTCCGTTGCACTTGTTCTAGTTTGGCACAATTCTGAATAAAGGTGCTCAGAACATTCTTACGGCCATCTTTTGGTGGTCCTGCTAAACCAAAAACTCCTGGGGCCAGAGCCCAGAAATCTGTGCTTTAACCAACACTCCTGGTGGTTTCGGGGCAGAGAGCCTCGGCGCTAGGTGAAGTCAAAAAGGCCCGAAGCCCCCGATTCAGAGCAAACTCAGCACAGGGCCTAGCACCTAGCAAGCGCTCGATAAATGTAACTGTGAGAACGTTTCTCATCTGAGGACTGGATGCTCCCCTCCCACGCAGCCCAGGCTGCTCCCGCAGGGCCCTGCTGCCGGCACTCACCTCCCGGCCGGCCGCCGAGCCCTCTGTCCGCAGCCCCTCCACCTCCTTCCTGAGGTTGTCCCTCTCCATCCTCAGCTCCTCCACCGTCAGGTTACCCTCATTCACCAGCGTCTCCAGCATCTCCAGGACGCGGACGATCTTGAACTGCAGCTGTGTCACCCGGGGGTCGCTGCCCAGGGCCATCAACTCGCGGCCCATCACGTAGGAGATGTCATACACGTCCTCGGCGGTCAGCTGGAAGGGGCTCTTGCCCAAAGCCCCCTCGGGCCCAGCCTCGTCCCCTTCCTCCTCCTCTTCTTCCTCCTCCTCTCGCAAAGGGGGTTCCTCCATGGCCACCCAGACCCCCGCAGCCACAGGAGCTGCTTTCTCAGAAACCCCAAACTTCTAACTTCCTCCCGGCGCAGAAAACTTTCCGCGGGGCTGAGACCCTGCCTGCCCCGGGCTGGGGGATGGCCCAGGAGCGGCCAATCAGCGCAGCCGAGGGGTGGGTCCGGGGCAGAAAGGCCGCGCTCCCGGGCTTCCAGGCCCAGCCGCGGGGTGCACCGGCCCTGCTGAGAACATTGCAGGGGGCCGGCCCCCAGGATGTGGTTTGGGGCACGAGAAGACAACAGAAAGGGAGGACAGCCGAGAAGAGGAACGGAGAGATTAAGGGGTGACCGCGATTGTCCCCGGGTGGGAGGTGTTGCCAACCGGGTGGGGGAGGGGCGGCCGCCTGAGCCCCGCCCTTGGTGACAGCCGCCGCCGCCGCTGGGTTTCCACGGAGACGGGGGCGGAGTTTCCACCGCGAGTCTGGGAAAGAGGGTAAAAAGCACACAACTTTTTCCTTTCTATGCTCGAGCTTTTCAGCCATAAAATTTGCATTCTACGTGGAGGAAGATCCGGGTCTCTGTTTTGGGGGTATTTTCAGAAGCCTGCGGTAAAACAGAGGACAGCTGTTAGTGTCTGCGCGTGGGAGTCAAGAGACCTGGGTTGCACAGAACTACCCGGCCCACCGTCGCCGGGATCTGCGGCATCTGACTTTCAATAAAATGGAGAGTCCCTGGGCTGTGCGCTCTGCGGATTCCTGGGCTCCGCCCCGGACTCGGCGTGGCTGCCTTGGCAAAATTAACCCACAATTTCCTGCTCAGTGAATAACCGCTCCTCCGCGGTAACATTGCTGGAGGACCGTATTAAGATAAGGTCATGAGACCATGCGTGTGACGAAAGTACTAAGGAAGTGCTCAGAAAAATGTGAGCGGGTCATTCTGTCCTCCAGCAAACATTCGACTTGTGTGTGGGGCACACGTGGCACGTGGGCTGGGCTGGAAGAAGTAAGAAACAAGACAAAAACCACGCTCTGCTTTGAAAATTAGAAAGCATTCTGTGGATAGGGTATTAGTAAGACTATTGGCAGGGTGGATTACAAAATGAGTTATTTTTAGAAATTTGTAATAGTCACGGCAGAAACTTTAGCAATGGAGCTTCTCTTTTTTTCCCAGGAGTATACTGCTGCTTTCTTTGTGGTAAAGGGACTTGAGTTTCTCTACACTGAGGTTCTAGCAGACCAATGTTGAGTGGCCAAGGAGGAAATGAACAAAAAGCAAAGCAAGCAAACAAAATAGGCACTATTTTCAGAGGGTACAATGTTCTAATGATCAAAACCAGGCTTCTGGGCAAGGGGTCAGTAACCCATAAATCACAATTGTAACTACACCCACTGATTGAGTGAGATAAAATGTTGGGCTTGCCAGAAATATAATATGGTATATCCACACAGTGGAATATTACATTACCATAGAAAGGAATGAAGGAGGGACACCTGGGTGGCTCAGTCAGTTAAGGGTCTGCCTTCGGCTAGGGTCCTGGTCCCAGGTTCCTGGGATCAAGACCAGCATCAGGCTCCCTGGCCCACAGAAGACCTGCTGCTCCCTCTCCCTCTCCCCTTGCTTGTGCTCCCTCTCCTGCTGTGTCTCTGTCAAATAAGTAAAATCTTAAAAAAAAAAAAAAAAAAAAATGGGGGCACCTGGGTGGCTCAGTGGGTTAAGCCTCTGCCTTCGGCTGGGGTCATGATCTCAGGGTTCCGGCTCTCTGCTCAGCGGGGAGCCTGCTTCCCCCTCTCTCTCTGCCTGCCTCTCTGCCTGCTTGTGATCTCTCTCTCTCTCTGTGTCTAAAAGATAAATAAAATCTTTAAAAAAAAAATGGAGTGAAGGAATAGGATAGAGTGCTCAGAAATAAACCCTTGCAAATATGGTCAAATAATTTTCAACAAGGATGTCAAGACCATTCTTTGTGGAAAGGACAGTCTTTTCAACAAATGTTAGAAAAATTGGATACCCACATGTAAATGTGAGAAGGTGGACCCTTGCCTTACACCATATAGAAAAATTAACTCAAAATAGATCTAAAACATAAAGCTATAAAACTTTTAGAAGAAAACATAGGGGGAAAGCTTTATGTCACTGGATTTAGCAATGATTTCTTCAAAAGCACAGGCAACAAAGGAAAAAAATAGATAAATGGGACTACATCAACATTTAAAACTTGTACATCCAAGGGGCGCCTGGGTGGCTCAGTGGGTTAAGCCTCTGCCTTCAGCTCGGGTCATGATCTCGGGGTCCTGGGATCAGGCTCTCTGCTTGGCCGGGAGTCTGCTTTCCCCTTTTTCTCTCTCTGCCTGCTGCTCTGCTTACTTGTGATATCTCTCTCTCTCTCTGTGTCAAATAAATAAATTAAATAAAAAAAAAAACTTTTAAAAACTTGTGCATCCAAAAACACAATTAGCAGAGTGAAAAGGCACCCTACAGAATGAGTGAATATATTTGCAAGTCATACGCAATAAGGGGTTAATAACCAGAATGAATATACATATAAATATTACAAGAGTTACACATGTATCTCCTACAATGCAATGATTAAAAAACAAAACTAAACCTGATTAAGAAATAGGCAAAGTAAAAATAGATCCAAAATCCTTAGCAAGATACTAGTAAACAGAATTTAGCACTGCAGAAAAACTATATATCATGACCAAGTAAGGTTTATTCCAGGGTCGCAAGGCTGGTTCAGAAAAGGCAATCAGTGTAATCTGCCATATTAACAGGCTAAAGATTACACACACACACACACACACACACACAACTATTAAACAGCTCAAGGCTGCAGGATACAAGATCAATATACAAAAACCAGTTGTGGCCTGCCTGGGTGGTTCAGTTGGTTAAGTGGCTGCCTTTGGCTCAGATTGTGATCTTGGGGTCCTGGGATCAGGGTCCTGGGATCTAGCCCTGCACCAGGGTCCCTGCTCAGTGGGGAGTCTGCTTCTCCCTCTGCCCTTCCTCTCGTTCATCCTCTTTCTCTCTTTCAAATTAATAAAATCTTTAAAAAGCTAACTGCATTCTATACATTCGCAAGAAATAATCTGAAAATGAAATTAAGAAAATAATTCCAGGGGCGCCTGGGTGGCTCAGTGGGTTAAGCCTCTGCCTTCAGCTCGGGTCATGGTCTCAGGGTCCTGGGATCGAGCCCCGCCTCGGGCTCTCTGCTCAGCAGGGTGCCTGCTTCCCTTCCTCTCTCTCTCTCTGCCTGCCTCTCTGCCTACTTGTGATCTCTGTCTGTCAAATAAATAAAATCTTTAAAAAAAAAAAAGAAAAGAAAATAATTCCACTTAAAAGGACATCGAAAAGTATAAATACTTAGAAATAAATGGAACAAAAGAAGAACAAGACTTGCCCACTGAAAACTACAAAATATCATTGAGAGGAATTAAGATGTAAATAAATGGGAAGACACCACGTGTTCAAAAATTGTAATAGTAGAGTTAAGATGGCAATATTCTCCATCTTACATTTCCAGTTGATCTACAGATCAGCACAATCCCCATTAAGATCTGTGTACAAGGGGTGCCTGGGTGGCTCAGAGGGTTAAGCCTCTGCCTTGGGCTCAGGTCATGATCTCAGTGTCCTGGGATGGAGCCCTGCATCGGGCTCTCTGCTCAGTGGGGAGCCTGCTTCCTCCTCTCTCTTTGCCTGCCTCTCTGCCTACTTGTGATCTCTCTCTCTGTGTTAAATAAATAAAATCTTAAAAAAAAAAAAAAAAAAGATCTGTGCACAAAACCGTTAATAGAGCCGGCCCAGGAATACTATCATTTCAAAATCCTGCTTCCAAGCTTGGCCCTTGCTAGGATCTGGGAATTTGTGTTTGGAGGGGGTTCCACCACCCCAACTGATAGGAGTAGCTCAGTGTCTATATTGTTTATGCAAACAACATAGCTTACCAGCTTTCCTCCTGGGAATATGGAATTTGCTATGCAGTAGGCAGAAGGTGTCTGCATGACAAGCTCCCTTAAAAACCTTTGGCGCAGTCTCCAATGAGCTTCTCTCATAGATAACATTTCACAGACGTCATAACTCGTTACTGGGAAGTAATGCTAAGTCAAGCCGGTCACAAAAGACCTTCTATTGCATGATACTTTCTCTAGGAGATGTCCAGAACAGGCAAATCCACAGAAGAGCATCTACTATACACGAAGTCTGGAGTGTTGGAGTCAACTGGGCTGTTCCATCAGGCAGTCTTTGAGTTGAACCTCTGAGTTGAACCTCACCATTGCTACTTGTAAGTTTGAGCAAGTTCCCTAATCGTTCCAAATCCCCATTTCCTCAGTGTAAACTAGGAAAAGTAAAAGTATTTCCCAAGAATGGTGTGAAGGTTAGATGAGATAATGCATGAAAATTACCTGTTGTGGATATTGTCTATTTTTGGCTATTATAATGAAGTGTTAATAATCTTAACTTTTAGATCCCTCGTAGAATTCAACAATCTGTTGGTAGCTAATTACGGCCCTTCTCTCTCCATTGAGAAATTATGAAAACAATTATGAGTTACAAATTTAGCTCAGGTTCTTAACATGCTCTCTGCAGACCGCCAGCATTGGGATCGCCTGAGGACTTTTCAGCAATGCGAATTCTTGACCCACTGAATCAGAGACTTTGGGAATGAGCCCTAGCAATCTGCGTTTCCACAGCCCTCCAGGTAATTCTTTTTTTTTTTTTTTAACTATTTATTTATTTATTTGAGAGAGAGAAAGACAGGGAGAGCATGAGCCGGGAGGCACAGAAGGAGAGGGAGCCCTCTCCATCCCAAGACCCTGGGATCACGACCTGAGCTGAAGGCAGACAATTAACCCAATTAACCGACTGAGTCACCCAGGCACCCTGCCCTCCAGGTAATTCTAATGCGTGCTCAAGTTTGAAAAACAGTAAGTGAAAGCACAGTGTTCAAAGGGGTGGGTTGAGACCAGACCACAAGTGTTCAAATTGTGATTGACTCTGCCACTTGTAAACTGTGTGAAGTTAGGCAGGTAAATTGTGCCTTTACTCTGGCACATTATGCCAGCTGTAATATGGGGTAATGATACAATCTGGTTTGTGAGATTGTTGGGAAGTGCCTATTATTATTCTAAAAGATTTTATT